GCTGGTCTCTATTACAACACATTCATTGCTCTGCAGACGACTAACACATCTACTGTAAGACAGGAAATAAGACAACTTTGAATTAAAGTCAGCATGAAACAGAAGTTGCGTGAGATATATCCTAGCAAAACAGCTTCTCGAACTAGAAGAAATGTAGGACTGGTCAGGATTTTTTTTTTCCCGTGGTAATTGGCTTTATGCCCAATTGCACTACTTCCTGAACTTCAGCCAGCTCCTTGTTTCCTGTCTGCCATTATTGGCCAAATTGATTAATTCAGGTGTGCTTGACCTCAGTAGTCATGGCAACAATAATCATACACACCTGAATTAATCAATTTGACCAATAATGGCAGACAGGAAACAAGGAGCTGGCTGAAGTTCAGGAAGTAGTGCAGCTGGGCATTGATTGGTTGGTTGTGTTTTGTTGTTGCTGTGATGTCTTGTGAGTGACACATTGTCCCGCCCTTGTGCCAGTAAACACGTCATTAGAGAAGAGAACATACTTTGATTAGAGGTTATGGGGAGTTAAAAAAAAGAATGATGTGCAGTACACAGATACATCACTTATAATATAATAAATACTTCAAAATTTCTTAAAAAAATAAGAATTGTCAATTTCATGATGAGTTTCATGTTGTTCTCTGGAGGTAGTACACTTGCTTTGATTTAGTGTCAGAAGTGTTGTGTGATGCACAAGAAGCAATAGCATTTGGTGTTTTAATGTTAAACCTGATGGCACCATATTTATGGAATTATTACATGTTTATTATGGAAGAATATAGGGTTTGTAATGACATTAGGGTTAGTAAAAGACATATTTTTAATGTCAGCTATTTGAATCATAAATGCATTTTATGAGATTTATTTTGAGATGAAATATTTTCTTTGATTGCAATCCATTTGTTTTGCAATCATTATAGTTTTAGTTAACAATAACAACACGGCACTAGAGTTGGAAAGTATCTTACAATTCAACATACAGTGTTGTCACTGTGGCCATTGAGTTGTTCTCGTTCAGTAAATGTGAGAGGCGTCCTGTGGCTTTGCCTGAGGCGTCTGTTGGTTGGTGCGGATGATTAAATGTGAGCGTCAGGAACTCAGGACTTCCTTTGAGGGTTGCCTGTACAGATCCGACAGTTAGACCTGAGAGGCAGAGAGAGCACCTTTCCTCTGTCTGCATCTCATTCGTTTGGTCCGTTAGCTTGCCTGCATTTAATCAGCCTCAGCAAATTGAGTGAAGCTACTGTCTCTCGCTCTCAGATGTGCCTTCAGGTGGTATCTCCGATTTAATGAGCTTTGATTTCCCTTGCACTTGCTTCTCCTGTGTCATTTCAACAGAAGTGCATTATGGGATATTGTTGTTGCATCAGTGTACAACCCCACTCACCCAAAACATTCACAGTGACAGACACATCACACATGCATACACAAGATCAACACGCCACAGTCCACTAGTGCCAAAAGTCCAATAGAAATTAACTATAAAGAATAATAATAAAAGAAAAAAGAGTTGTTTGTTAAATACCGTTGTAAATACAAAAATCTAAATTTGATCATTTTTTGTTCAGGCCAATGTGCACACTTAGGTAAAATGTTAATGGTTAATAGAAACCAAGCTAATGTGAATTTTAAAAATCTAGACAATTCGGATAAGTTGCTTAGAATTATCCAGTATTTTGAAGTGCCCACAATAACAATAGCACTCATTACCGCGATATACCATATTACCGAATACTGACACATGTCTGTTTGTGATTATAATAAAGGAATCTAATTAGGGCTGGGCACGGTAACGTGTTATCATGTTAACGCATTTATTAATTAGTGCCGACAATTTTTTTTTTTTTTTTTTATGGAACGTTAACGCTTCATAATTTCTTAAGAAAATAAAATTTTCTTATTTTCGCCTCTTAACGTTTTTTATTTATTATTATTTTGTAAGTCAGCCAGCAAATAACCCTCCCAAACAAGCAGTGGAGAGGCTTTAGCAGGTTCTCTCAGGTGAACAGAAAGGGCGATAGCGCTCTGCGAGTGAACAGCAGTCGCTCTATGGATAGTAACCATAGCAACAGCTTCATTGTGTAAAGGGAATACATATATTTTTTATTTTTACTCTTCTTTTGTTATATTTGGACATTTACTGTTCAAACACATATAAATGTTAATCCTCCAAGAAAAAAAAAACTGGTTTGTCAATTGTAGCTTTTCTATAAGCTCTCTGCTGGAATTGCTATGCACAATTTTATGTAATGTCAGCTTTGAAAAAAACGAAGGAAAACACACTGAAAATTGTTTGTGCTTACATTTAGGACAGGGCACATGTTCATGTGAAACTTGACGTTTGTTCAATTTGTTCTGGGCATGTCTTTTTCTGCAGAACAAGACATGCCCAGAACAAATTGAACAAACGTCAAGTTTCACAACTGCTAAATTTGAAGTTACAGTGAACTTACAGGCTCACTCTACCATAACTGATTTTTTTACTCTAGAAACTAGAGCCAGACCGATATCGGCAGGCCGATATTATCGGCTGATATTAGGCATTTTACAAACTATCGGTATCGGCAGTTATAATGGCCGATAAATGAATATTTCAAAAATAAAATAAAAATGGATGAAACACGCTTTAACCATGTCATGTTGGAGTGTTGGAGTTGTATAAGTTTGTCCACCAGAGGGCACTCTACACCGTCGTCCCTGGCCTGTTGGCAACACTCGTTTATAACGCGCAACACATTCTAGCTAACCACAAAGCTAGCTAATGCCACTATCATCAGTGGAATTTAATGAGATTTGTTAATTAATTAATGAGCTTTGGTTCCTCCTCTGTTCTGTTGCGACAATAAAAGAAACAAAGTTCTTTTTAAAATGCATTATCATATTATTTTAATTAAAACTCATACATAACTACAAATAACTAATGTTAGGGAAATCTGTTAAATAAAATAAAAAATATCGGCCGATATATCGGAATATCGGATTTTAAAACCAACAAATATTTCTATCGGTATCGACCTTCAGAATCCTTTATCGGTCGGGCTCTACTAGAAACAAACAAAATTACAGTAAATTCTGTTACTATTATTATTAACCTGTTAATTAAGATTGATTAGTTTCAATGAATTGTCTCGACCTCTACATACATTTTGTCTTGTCAAGGTGCACAGAGTCAGAGAAAAACTAAATAAAAATATAGCTGCGAGCAGCGATGGCGGGCCCAAGCCGGTGGCACCGCAACCCCGGTTCCTTTAGTTACCTAAAGGCACCCGGGTAGCGGTGCCGAAGGCTTTGGCCCTTTTATGATTAAATGTTAAAACGGCTTGCCATACTCTGTCATTTCGACTAGTCACAATTATGTTACAGATGTCTTAAATGATAATACAAACTATCCAAAATGTAATTACGAATAGACAGAAAGACGTTGTTGATATCTACAATGTTAATTCCGGACAGGCAAACTTAGCTTTTAAATGTTAAAAGGGCTTGCCATACAGGGACGTAGGCTCAGAGAGAGGCTCACCATATTCAAACCAAAATATCTGACTTCCTCTTGGTCCGAGCTAATGACTATGTATTAGAAAGTTGTCCGGCTTGAGGAGTACAATGTATATACCGATTTTTGTAACTGTAGATAAAACTAACAACCCCACTTTTGTCAAAAGGTGGCGCTATTTAGTCCTTGCACATTGCCCGTTTCTGAAACTTTGCACGTCTACTGGCTAATAAATGTGATGTATCTGTTGAGTTTCAAGCAATTTCAATTTCAATTTGACTGTTGAAAAGAAGTGCGCCGATTAGATACTCAGGATCGGTATCGGCTCTGACACTGCCATCTTTGACGAGGCTGATTCAAATTCTATATTGTGCATATACTATTCTGTTAGGCACAAAGGCACAAAAACTTTCTAAAGTACCATAAAGTTTTTGTGTACTGTATTATTAGTGTTCTGAAGCTATTATGTGATATAGAAATTAATATTTAAGTCATTAAATTCAAGAACACAAACTTTTCCCTCTCTGCGCCTGTCAGTCATTCTCCATTCAGCATTCAAACAGCACGTCACATTCGGTTACAGTCAATGATGAAACGATCTTCAATGATTCAATGTTAATCCTATTATACTGGATCTTTAAGATAAAGGTCTAAAGGTCTATATTTTCGAATGAAGAAACTTTTTCTTGCTGGACTTTATTGCTGTAACTTAATCGTGTTACTTTCTACCGGGTGTCGGACGCTGTCGGTTAGATCACAACACTAGAGTCAGAGCACTATAATTGTTCTTCACGCACACAGTAACTGAAATTTAAAACCTTTAAAAGAAAAGGCTCAATAAACTATTGCATAGATAGATAATGTATAATACACTGTTCATAAATATGTATTTCCTTTGTGCTTTGAACTTTTCAATACGGACTCAATGCGCTGTAACTTCATGTGGCTTCAAGCACATCATTCTCCGCTCGGGATGCACATAAGTGCTTTGTGCTGCACCGTATTGGAGCCGTAATATCATAATGCAGTGACGTAATGACAGATTATTAATTGCCTTTCAATTATATGTTGCTTTATAGCAGCCCATGGCTATATTTTTTTTTATGATTTTTGTTATCTTGTTTTTCATGAATGTATTTTTCAAAAATAAGAGCAATGTGTATTATCTATTATTAATATGGTTTATAATAGCATTTTTGTCATAGATTATGACAAAGTAATCATATGATCCACCAGCGAGGAACCAGCAGAACAGAGTGAACATTCTTTCTGTTTAGTTCAATCCTACTTAATAGGAATTTATTTAAAATGCTCGCTCTACTCCACACCATTAATGTCTTGTGCGGACATCCGTATTTCGACTTTCGGTTTTAAGTAAGCGATTTAAAAGCTCCCAAGTCCCAGCGGAGTCACACGTTGATTAACCGGTGGGAATATACACAATAGGCCTACCTGATATTGAACACAAGAGGGCAGTATAGCACTACGTATGACTCAGATTATTATT